ATAAAAGGTTTTGTCTCGGAAATATCCTATTGAAAAAACAATAGAAAATTAAGGAATAGTTGTTACATTTTACCGAAACGCTGATTTTATGACAAAAGAAAAAAATTACACACAGTGATATCCTAGATGCATACTCACGCCCACTTTAATGAATTATCACTTTATAAGTAAGCAATAAATATAAAATAACTAAACTATCTTAATCTGTCGATTTTAAAATTTTTGAAGAGGTATTTAAGCACTATTATTCTTGCGTATCAAAATATCCATATTTTTTATACATCCTTTTTGCTTCTTTATTATTTACGTAAAATTAAGTGTAAAACTATAGCTTGCTATATTTAAAATTCAATTACTTTATTTCATTAAAATTAACATTATATGAAAACATGCGAAATTATATAATTTTTATTTTTCTTGTTTGCCTATTCTCTCACCTCCCGATACAACTCTCTACCTTCCGGTCCTCTCTAGCTCCTCTTTTATATTTCCCTCCTACTCTATATTTTGTTGCTATTATGGTCAGGAATTCAGAACCCAACGACAGGCGCACTGAACAGTTCAGAAAATTATTTATCGGAGGTCTTAATCCACAGACAGATGATACTAAGCTGCGTGAGTATTATGGGCAATGGGGCGATATCGTCGATGCTGTTGTAATGAAGGATAAGAGATCTGGCCGTTCCAAAGGTTTTGGCTTTATCACTTATAAAGAGCCTGAAATGGTTGATGCCGCACAATCGAACCGTCCCCATTCTATCGATGGGAAAACTGTCGAAGCCAAGAGGGCTATGCCACGAGAGGATTCGCAAAATCCAGAGTCACACATGACCGTCTCGAAGCTGTTCGTCGGCGGCCTTAAAAAGGAAGTTACCACTGATGATCTTAAGGAATACTTTCTGAAATTTGGCACTATCAAAGAATGTGAGGTCGTGAAGTTTAAGGAGTCAGGCGAAAGCCGCGGCTTTGGATTTGTAACGTTCGATGACTATGATGCTGTCGATAAGGCTATCTTGTATAAACCCCATTTCATAGGTGCCAGCAGGGCTGATGTTAAAAAGGCGCTTAGTAAAGAACAAATGAATCAGATGAAAAGGAAGCAGGAGGCGAGATACGATGGATACTCTGGCAATTACGATGGTGGTTATCCTTCTATTGGAGGTGGATACACTGGATATGATAACACCTGGGGTGGGGGCTATGGCTCCATGGGTAGTGGAAGTAGTGGCACAGGCACCACCCCTAGCATGGGTAAATTCTTAGTTCTTCATATCTCTAGGTGGTGGTGCAAGTTCAGGTTACGGTGGTGGTTGGAGTGGACAAATGTCAGGTGGGGGTGTCGCCGCAGGCCAGTGGGGGGGGATGGGTGATGGTTTTGGCAGTTACGGGGGCCAACAGGCTTATGGCGGCGGACCTATGCGTATGGGTGCTCAAGGTTACCAAAGGAGTGGTCCTTATGGTGGAGCAGGTACATGACTTTGTTAATTCACCTTTCATAGGTGGCTATGGACGTCGCTAATGACAAATGCATCTCCTGGTGAGGTCCAAATTGCTTATTGTCAATCTCCTGTATAGCCTAGTTATCAGGCCAGACTTATGATTTTGTCCGTATTTGTATTGCAGGCTTTAGGCTCTTCTCAGACTAGTGAGGCATGTCGTCATCGTAGCGAAGGGAAAAGCAGGTGGAGTTTGATTACCTTCGTAGACCAAGCAGCCAGTCTTCGAGCATAGAGCCAGCCAGTCGCCATTTCTACTCTACTAGTTATTTTTTGCTAAACATTGTATCATGTGCAATAAGTTGACCTTCTGCGTTTTGCTTCATCCCCAGTTTATATCTACGTGTGCAAATATTAGCGAAATGTCTCATCTCTCAAGTTGTTTGCTTCGACAGACATAGTATGTCCTATCTTGCCCATCT